GGTTAAAGGTTTGTGTCCACTCATAGGCATCTCAGAAAACAGGTGTGGTGATCTACTTTTGAAAAGCAGCCATTGAAAACCCAATTCTACTCTGACACACATGGGCTTACCATGAACTGGAGTAGAATGGACTCCGACTAATTAAACTTGGAAGTCTGGTGTGGCGCTGTGGGTTAATGTGCTGGACTGCAAGGTCAGATTTGAACCACAAGGTCAGTGGTTAAAGCTCACTAGCTGATACTTGGAAACCCTATACAGGGTCGCTATGAATCGTTACAGACTCAATGGCACTTAACAACAACAATTAAAGTTATAGGACTGAATGCATTCTACAGAGAGCTATGAAAATAAAAGTCAGAGAAGTACCCACACATAAGGGATGGGTAGAGAAAGGGATGTGACTAGATAAACGTTGTAACTAACCAGACCAGTGGTAAGAAAAAACTTTGAGATCCCTGACTTGAAAAAGCTTCGTAAATACAAATAACCTGGTCGCATATTATTACAAACATTTAATGTCACAAAGCATACACGATATGGATGGTATGATAGTTAAGGTTTTGTGTTGATTGGGCCAGGATTCTCAGCAACTTGACAGTTGAAATGTAGTTATCTCCATAATGAGATCTAACACAATGCAATTAACTCTATGATGAGTTCTACTATGAGCAGCAAATCATTGAAAGGATGTTTCCTTGGGGGTGTGACCTGCTCCAACATATTAGACACTCAGGCAAAGCTTGTTTTTTGTTTTCTGCTGGGTCTGGATCTTGCGTCTGGCTCCTTCTCTGATTTCTGATTCTTTGGATTGAGCCAGTGACTTTCTTAACTACCTGCCAATCCTGGGAGCCATCAATTACCTGTCTCCTAACCTGCTGGACCTACTTGCCTGCCTGTCTACTGGACTTGTCTTCAGGTGGTACCTTCCTACTGTCTGACTTGCTGATCTTGGTTCATCTGACCTGGACTTTGGACTTTCTTACCTCTACTGTGTGATCTTTGATATAAACTTCTCTCTCTAAAAGCATGTATAGTTTCACTGGTTTTGCTACTCTAGGAATCCACTCTAAGACAGATGATAATTCTTCAGAGGCTATTACTTTGAAGCATATATCACTCAGTTGAAAAACAACAACAACAACAACAAAATTCAGAAGAGAAGCTGCAGAAAATAAAATAGAATCAAGGGAAGAATGGAATTTACAGACTCTCAGCTAGCCTAAGTAAATAATTAATTTCCCTCCTAGTAACAGTCACCTTCACATATAAGGGCAGCAATGTCTCTCTGCAACATTTATCAAGCAAGAAAAATGTAAACTTTGAAATCTGTGAAGAATTTCATATGACTCATTGAAACCTGTTGCAAAATCAACCACAAGTTTTCTTACTACAAATTAACTTTGAGTGAAGTTGTAGACCTTAAAATTTAGGACATTTGGTGGAAGAAGGCTGGGGACAGGGTAAGGAGTGGCAAATAGAAGGCAAAAATGCTGATGAGTTTAGAATTGGTGGGAAGAAAATCATTGTTCCTTTTTTGGGGGGTGGGGTTCAGAAATGTCTCAAAGTGGTTTATGAAGTGACTAAGAGTACAGATTCTGGAACAAACTGCTTGGGTTTGAATCCCTGCTCTGCCACTTATTTTCTGAGCAATTTTGGGCAATCAATGCAATTGCCCTGTGCGTATACAAACAGATAATAACAACTCTTAGGGTTGTAATGGAGTCCTGGTGTGGTACTGTGGGTTAATGCACTGGATTGTAGGTTTGAACAGTAAGGTCCATGGTTCAAGTTCACCAGTTGCTCCATGGAAACCCTATAGAGGGTTGCTATGGGTTGGAACCAACTTGATGGCACTAAACAACAACAGGGGTTGTATTACGGATTAGATAACAGAATGTTTGTGAAACATTTAGAACTGTGCCTAGTATATAAGCATATTATTTAACATATTATTTATTAAATAAAAATTGAGAAAATTGACTATGTAGCCAAAACATCTTTGGAATTTCTACTCTAGTAGGTTCCACAAGCTTTAGGGATAAAGTTCATGGAAAGAAAACACTCTTTCTTCATGTTTTTTCTTCTTACTCTCTTATCTCCCTATCTTCATAATACTATATTGTGTCCTTTTTATATTAAAATTATTTTAATTGTCTTAACAAGCAAGTATACTGTTAATTGGGTAGTTTCTCACCCTCATGTTTTTTTTTTTTTTAATTTTAAAATTTAATTTAACTTTCTATTGTGAAATTGAGTGAAGGTTTACACAGCAGTTCGTCAGTTTACATTCAACAAAGCATAACTTTGTGTCATCTTGATTGGACTCCCCCTCAGTGTAACATCACTTAGCCTTCTTCCTCTCTGTGTTTCTTGTTTCCATGCCTCCTTCTTTCCCCTCCCTTCTGATTTTTGTTCTTAGGTAGGTGCTGTAGGGGCATGTCTTGAGAACAGTAGGTGATCTGGTTTGACTGGAATGCAGAGTTCATTGACAGCAACCTCTCTGCCAGCACCTGGGGACACATTGGATATGGGAAAGAAGATAATGAAGAAGGACAAACAGGATGAGTCCTGGGTTTAGTGTACTTGTACCCTTTGATGAGATGGGGAACTCATGTTTTTTAATGCACAGTTGTGACTATTTTCCCATTTAGGATTGTTCTCAATGTTTTCTTTCTTTCATATAAAGCATTAAAAATAAGTATACAGGAGAATTTAAAATACACAGTTGTTGTTAAGTGGCACCCAGTTGGTTTTTATTCATAGCAATCCTCTTTAGGGTTTCTCAGGAGTGACTTGTGGGTTTGAACCTCTGATCTTGTGACTACCAGTCCCGTGCTTATCCTACAGCACTACACCAGGACTGTAGACTTAGTTTCACTGTAATAAACCTTATACTTAAGTAGAAAAAATATTAAAAGTTTCAATGGCAAGTGTTTCAGAGATAATAATTAAATGCAGTAAGGATTTCGAATATACTTAATCCTTTCAGAAGTCAAAATTGACCCATTCAATTTCACCAGTTTCTTTGCAAAATAGTTCACCAACACAAAATCCAAGGACCTTGCAGTTTTAACTACCTCATGTATCTTTAAAGTATAAATTCCTTTGCAAATGCCCTCTTGTTCCCTACCGTTTCCAGGAATGCCTTATTTTACTCACTGTATTTAATTTAAATTCATTATTTTCTGTTTCCTCTGGTTATTATAGTTTTCCACAGTCGCTGTGTGTGTTTTCCACAGTCGCTGTGTGTGTTTTCCACAGTCGCTGTGGGTTAATGTGCCACACTGCAAAGCCGTTCGAACTGCAAGGTTGGTGGTTCAGGCTCACCAGTCTCTCCTCGAAAACCCTATACAGGGTCGCTATGGGTCGGAACTGACTCGACAGCACTTTACAACAACAACACTGCTTTAGAATAGAGTTTGCATGTAACTATAAGGTAATGGAGGTTTGAGACACGGAATTTTTGTCATCTAAATGGGGTGTTTCTGGAGAAGGATATCATGTTTGGTAAGGTAGAGGGTCAGAGAAAAAGAGGAAGACCCCCAACGAAATGGATTGCCAACTGGCAGCATCGATGAACTCAAGCGTGGCATCAATTGTGAGGGTGGCCCAGGATCCGGCAGTGCTTCGTTCTGCTTTGCATAAGGTCGCTATGACTCGGTACTGATTCGATGGCAGCTAATAATAACAACAAATTGGGTGTACTAGAGGTCATCTTTTAACCATTCACTTATGTGTGGGTCATTTATGTGTGGGTGGGAGGGGGTAGTAGTGAGGTTGGGTGGGTAGGGGCGCTTCTCAGGCTTAAACCTCACTTTATGGGAAAATCCTTTGGTTTATGTTAACATGCTCTTTGCTTTTTGCTAACAAGTTTCTTTAGAAACTATGTCTTTATCCTTTTCTCTGTTGTTTACTTCCTACACAAGTTGTACCTCTTGTTTCTGTAATCTCACTCTTCCCCTTCCTTTACTGGAGGATACACTCTAAGAAGTAGTCCTGGTGTGGCGCTGTTGGTTAATGCACCAGATTGCAAAAGCTGTTTGAACTGCAAGGTCACTGGTTCAAGCTCACCAGCTGCTCCATGGGAAGCCTATACAGGGTCACTATGAGTCTGAACTGACTCGACAGCACTTAACAACACACTCTAAGAATATACTTTTGAAGTTCTTTAACCAAACATACTCACTTTAAGGTTCTTCATGTGAGTGGTTAAGTGCCTTCGAGTTGGTTCTGGCCCATAGCGACCTCGTAAAGGGTTTCCCAGGAGCAGCTGGTGAGCTTGAACCTTGCGGTTCAAAACGACATTGCAGTCCATCGCATTACCCCACAGAGCCACACCAGGACTCCCATGTGAGTTATAGGTTGTTAAAGCAAGTGGATTCCGACCCATAGCGACCCTGACAGGGTTTCCGAGCCGAGGGTATACATCCTTATGGGAGCAGAAAGCCTCATCTTTCTTCCGCGGAGCGGCTGGTAGTTACTTTAGTAGTTTTGAACTGCTGACCTTGCGGTTCGCAGCCCGATTCGTAACCACTACGCTACCAGAGCTGTGAGTTGTAGCAGATGTCAAATAAAGCAAGTCCCACAATGTGTCCATATTAAGACTTTAGACACAAAGCTGCAGCGTTTGGGGAGCCCTGTCCACTCCGCCCCTCATATGTTCTTGCTCTCTCCCTTTTGCAAGTTCACTGTCCTACAGCCAACTCCCTTTTCTCTCCCGACTTCCTTCTGAACGCCTAATAAAACGGGGAGGGGGGGGAAGTTTAATCATTTCGCAGCAATTCTCCTCTCTCTCACTGGGCATGCTCAGTGGCCGGGCCCCGCGCGGGTGGCGAGTGCTTGCCTTTGGTGCTAGGCTAGAGCTAGCGGCCGCCTCCGTTCGGCTTCCCCGAGCGCGGGCTGTGCAGAGACGACCCTGAGCCCGGAGGCTGACGCACTCTCGCCGTCCTCGCTCCAGGCCCCCGTGACTGCGGCTTGGATCCGGAACCCGTGAGCCCCTAACTTCGCGCCAAATTCGGAGCCGCCTTCTGGGGGTCATGCAAATGATGACCCGGGACACTTTACTAGAAATGGAGGAAGATGACGAAGACGATGATAGGGATATTGGTGAGTGAGGGGCTCGCCGGAAGTAGAGGTGGGTAGGGGGCGGCGCGGGTCACCTAGTCCCCACCCGAAAGCCTGGGCTGACGCGCTAAGAAGTTCTAGGATTGCGCGTGGGCGCTGCCCTGGGTTCGGGGAGGTCTGCCCGGACCCTTCGCGGGTCGGAGTGGAGCGCGGCATTGGGGAGGGTGAGTGGGCAGGGGGACTGTCGCCGTCTGGGGGTCGGAATGCGCCGCCTCGCCCTGCTGACCGGGCGGTCCCTGGCTCAGCTCCCGGTTTGATGGGGCCGCGGGCGGCCCCGGGAGACTGGGGGAGCTGGGACTCCAGATTACAGTTTCTGAACCGGCAAAAGACGTAGCCTTTGGAGAAAGAACCACAAGATAATTAGGGGAGCATCCGTGCGGAAGTCTTGACTCAGAAGCAACAACTTTTGGGTCATTTCCTCCGCGTCGAACAACTCTGGGGATTCCGTAGAGCCGGGTATAACCTAAGCGCCGTTAGGCGAGGGTAGGAGAGGGTTCAGGTTCGGGTTTGAAGACCAGGGATGTGACCCACTTGGATCCTCTTTAAAGTGAAAGTTGCCGGGGAACTGATTTGTGGCCGCCGGGTTTCGGGCCAGGATCCACTTTCCAGCCGTAGAGCACAAGATCAAGGTGCTTGGAGGGGGACGCGCAGGGCATTTCCTACTTTCTCTGGACTCAGTCACAGAGGGAGCCTGGAGTTTGGGGAGCAAGGCTTGGGTGTTTCATTTCTAGTTCGAGTTAAAATGCACAAAAGTGGTAGAGTTGTTAAAGATTTAAAAAGAAAGAAAGAAAGTTCAGAAAAAGATTGGGGGAGGTGAGGAAGGGAGACATTATTGGAGTACTGAGACACAAGAGAGCAGGGTCCAGGGAATAATAACATTGGGCTCAGCCAGAAGAATGGCAATTCAGTTACTTTGCTATGTCTGTTCAGCAGACTAGGAATCAATCTTCTGGATGTCAAATTGGTTTTAGAAGCTAATGATATTTGCTCAGGTCCTAAAGCCCTGTTCTCTAATAGAATATAAAAGTAATATAATTTTAGGAGTTAGGGATGATTTTCTTTCTTCATGTTTTTGGTACTACTCCTCATTTAAATCATATACTTTGGACTGCCAGAAGAACGAAAACTATTTTGGAAGAATTACAGCCAGAAATCAGAAGTGAAGATGACGAGACTTCGTATCCTGTGCTTTGGACATGTTGTTAGGAGGGGCCAGTCCCTGGAGAAGGAGGACATTAATGCTTGGTAAAGTAGAGGGTCAGCAAAAAAGAGGACGATCCTCAACAGATGGGTTGGCACAGTAACTGCAACGTTACTCAAACACAGCAGTGATTGTGAGGATGGTACACGACCAGGCAGTGTTTAGTTCTACTGTACATAGAGTCTCTATGAGTCGCAACCAATTTGAGGGACTTAATCTTTAAAATTTTTAAAAATTGGTAACTTACTCGTTGTCAAGGACACAATGAATAGGGAGGATTACAACCCAAGGCTTAGCCTTGTTGTTGTTATTAAGTGCCATCAAGTGGATTCCAACCCATAGCCACCCTGTATAGGGTTTTCGAGGAGCAGCTGGTGAGCTTGAACCACCGACCTTACAGTGCAAACAGCTTTACAGTCTGACGCATTAACCCACAGCGCAACACCAGAACTCCAACCATTTATTCATTTGAGAACAATTTATTAGACATCTGTCCTTATGGAGGGAACGAATAGTATTACTCATCTTTTATAGGAGAGAAATCTGGAGCTCAAATCTGGTTCTGACTAGCTTCTCACCACTAGTTAGGATTTAGACCCAGCTGTTTGACTTGCAAGACCTGTGCAAATTAATGCTGTTTCTAGCTGATGACTCTGAAGACCAGATAATAATCTATGATGCTACTCTTTTTACCAGGATTTAGTGGTCAATGATTACAGAAAAGGATAAGTAATAGGAGTGGGCTTAAAAATGTTATAATAAAATCAGCAGTTTGTTCCATAGGAAAATTTGCTTGCCTTTTAAGGTGAGGTGTCACTATTTATATTAAGTATTTGTAAATAAGAATAAAACCCAAATGGAAATAAGCAAGTCTCTGAACTTTGTTTCATTGTGCCATCAGTAGATCTCAGTTTAGAGTGAAAAATAATTTGGTCTAATCGATGTTTACCTGGGAACCCTGGTGTGGCACTGCAAAGCCATTTGAACTGCAAGGTCAGCAGTTCAAGCTCAGCAGTTGCTCCTTGGAAACCCTATACAGGGTCACTATGGATCGGAACCGATTCGACGGCATGTAACCACACAACAATGTTTCTCTGATGAGGCATCATAAAGTTCATCTTTCGTTTTTAATTATGGTTGTAATTCATGCTGGTTCTAGTGAGTCAAACAGTGTAGATATATTGAAGATATCTTTACTCCTACTCCTCCCCCAGTTATCCTCCAGATGATACTGTTGTTAATATTTTAGGGTGTATGGGGGGGTCAACTCAACATGTTTTCTTCCAAGCTACAAATATCTAAACTAGTCTCTAATTTTTAGGTTTTTTTTTAAAATACAAATTTAATGTGGATTTTGTATTAAGAGAAAGTGATTTACTATGCCAATGGAAAGTTTATTTAAGCCTTTTTTGAAGGTTACCAGAAATAGGCTGCTAATAGTAAAGAGCCTTTTACAAATGAATTATAATTTCCAACAATGGGAGAGGAGACTATGATGAAATGAAGATTATAATTTTAACCTCTGCCTCTGGTTTCATAATGCAGGGCTGTGACAATAGTTAGTACTTGATTGTTACTCCCAATAATTTTAAACCGTTTCAGGTACAAAGGTATCTCTGAAATACCCCTATAAATATTATCTTTATAATTCAGAAGAGGAGAGAGTTACTTTGATACAAATACCTAGATAAAATATCAGACATTACCATGGGCTATATTTGCAAGAGGGAAAAAGAAAAGCAGGTTTCTGACTAGATGTGCTCTCAGGTTACATCATAGAGATGATTTACATAGCGTGTGCCCTCTAGCCTACTAGAATTTACAGCATATTTAGCAGTGGGTTTCTCCTTACTTTTGAAGCAGTGTCCAATACTTTTAAGTGACTGAGTTTATCCTTGTTTGAAATAGCCAATCTACAGAATAAAAAATGGTAAATAGTTGTCTCACCATGAATATCTTTTCTCTATTTGCTTAATTCCTGGCTAGCAATTAAGCCCAAGGATTTGCTAACCAGAGATAACTGTATAGGGTTTCCAAGGAGAAGCTGGTTGGTTTAAAATGCCAGCTTTGTGGTTCAAAGTCCAGTGCTGATCCTACAGTGCCACACCAGGAGATAGGCACATCTTTTGTATCCTGAAATGTAGAAACTAGGGTTAATATGGTATTTTGTGCCTTGTTTTTGCCATGATTCAAACTTTGCTAAGAGTTGTAAATGAGTTGGCATGAGGGCATTTTTGCAAACGGCCACCTGTTTTCTAAATCCGCTCCAGCAGCCAACCACAGAAGTTACAGCTAGGTAGTTCCTGTTGCAGGAAATCCTTGACTCGTAACTTTGGTTGCCCTGGTGAAGTTCATGTGTTCTTAAAAACCCTGTTGTACAGATCGGGGTCCTTGGCTGTTTTGCCTCCAAGCCTACCCCTGCTCCCCAGTTGCCAGAGAATTGAATTCAACATCTCTTCTTGTTGCTGTAGAAAGTGATTTTATTGTTAAGTGCAGTTGAGTCGGTTCTGACTCATAGCGACCCTGTATAGGGGTTCCAAGGAGAAGCTGGTTGGTTTAAATTGCCAGCCTTGTGCCACACCAGGAGATAGGAACATCTTTTGTATCCTGAAATGTAGAAACTAGGGTTAATACGATATTTTATGTCTTGTCTTTGCTGTGATTCAAACTTTGCTAAGAGTTGAAAATGACCAAAAAATGAAGCCAGCTATCAGGGACTAGCCAGATTGATATAGACAAAACAGTTTTTTTGGTGAGTCGGTTGTTAGAATGCTTTGGGTTTCCAATCTGTTGATGGTCGAGCAAGGAGCCCTGGTGGTGCAGTGGTTAAGTGCTTGGCTGCTAACTGACAGGGTTGCGTCTTGAACCCACCAGCTGCACTGTGGGAGAAAGATGTGGCAGTCTGCTTTTGTAGCGATTCAAGCCTTGGAAACCCCCCAGGGCAGTTCCCCTCTGTCTGATAGGGTCACTCGAGTTGGAATGAACTTGGTGGCAGTGGGTTAGTGGTAGAGTTTATTCTCAGACCTCCACAGTTGTCAGGTGAGTAGTGGATGGAAGAAGCTTTTGCTCTTGCTTTACACTGGGAGATAAAGATACAGGTATAGCTCTCCAATACTCCCCCCCCCCCTTTTTTTGTTCCTCCCTAGTGCTTTTTTAATTCACTGTCAACTTTTTAGATAGATTTTTTTTTTTTCTCCCCACTCCATGTCCATACTCTCTCCAACTACTTCAAGGTTAAGCACCTGCAAACTTGGTCCTAGCCCCAGTTTTGTTCATTAACCTTAGTTAAGCAGTCCTTAAGGAGCTCTGGTAGCATAGTGGATTATGAGCTGGGATGCTAATCGCAAGGTCAGCATTTTGAATCTACCAGTTGCTTCCAGGCAGAAAGATGAGGCTTTCTGCACTGTAAAGATTGACAGCCTCAGAAACCCTCTACAGGGTTGCTAAGAGTCGGAACTGACTCAATGGCATACAACTACCATCACGACCGTGAGATTAGGGGCTAGTGTGGCACTGGACTGCTAACCATAAGGTCAGTAGTTCAAGCCCACAAGCCACAACTGGGAAACCCTCTACAGGGTTGCTATGACTTGAAACCAATTTGATGACACGTAATAACAACAACATCAGCTAGGTAGAGGATCAGGTGTTGGGTTAGGTGCTAGGCTAGTTGCTAAGTTACAATCAAACCTGTTGCTGTTGAGTTGACTTTAATTCCTGGAGACCCTGTGTGTAACAGAGAACTGTGCTCCATAGAGTTTTCATGGCTGTAATCTTAGTG